CTAACCTAGACACCTAAGACCTAAAAACGCGAATGGGCCCCCTGCCAATGTGTCTAGCTCGAAATTACAAAAAAATGAGGTTAACAAAAATGTAAACATGTTGCTGACATGGCGCTGATGTGGCAATGTGGTGCTGACATGGCGTTGATGTGGCACTTTATCTCTTGAAGTCCAAAATTAATATGCAAGCCCAAAAATGCTCCACAATTAACCTGAAAATAATTGATAAACAAAAATTAGACCAAGTGAATTAGAATTAATTAAAATTTGAATTACTGGCCCAATGAAGCCCAAACAGTAAAACTGTACAATTAATAAGCGATTAAGCTCAAATCAACAATTAAAATAAGTACAAAAAGATAAATAAATAAGAGAAAATAATGACTCATCAAGGTTACCTTGCATGGCTAACAACACAAAACTTAATATTTCACGTACTAGAATGGAGATTGAACTTATAATTCACATAACTCAATCAATTCTTAACATTTTTACAAGATTCTAGAGTCTAAATTATAGTCCCAAGTGTCTACTTTCTAACCCAACAAACGAAAATTGATTTGGTTAATCCACAGAAAGATATTAGAAAAAATACTAAGGTACATCCATATAATTAAGGGTGTTCATCAATCTACAAGAACCCTAACTTAGAGGGCACATCCTAATGAATCCAATTATCATCTAGATAATCAATTTTACCAAATAATATAACAACCACATTTATAAATCAATATAAAACCCGATTTAATCATTTACGGATTTTCATCCTAGCGAGTTTTTGTCAGTCGATGCCTTTATTCTTTAATTGGGTTTTGTCTTGTAATTCCCTATAAACAAGGATTCGTCCATTCTTGATCATTCCTCCTATCTTGGCAATTGTCGTTTTCGCATGGGAAAGTCTCAGTGTTTGAATCGTCGATTTGGGCGTGTGATGCCCCCAATTACTGACAAGTGTTCCCTGATTTGATGTGTCGGGTTCGCATTTTATTACAGTAATTTCCATTATCTGGTTAACATGCACATATTAGGTTTCCCTTTTTATTCTTATTTATTATTTACAAAGAAGGCGTGCTATTTATATGAAACGTAAAATAGGATGCAAAGACACTTGAGAAATTCAATGAATATCATTCCCATTAATTTTTTTTTAGAGAACATTCTTTGCATACTATTATATGTGCCTTCTGTCTCTAATGGATGCATGCTAATGTACTATCCTAAGAGATGCATGATATTTATTTTCTACATAAATTTTATCATGTTTTTTTTTTACTATAGGTTATGATGCATGATTTTTGCTATATATTTTTTTTTGTTTTCTTTTGAAACAAACTATCCTATATGATGCTTTAGAGCTAGGGTATACAGAAGAGTGTTAGTTTTTTTTTATTGATTAATATCTGTTTATTTGTCTATAATTCCTCTCTATTTGAAATGAACCAAAAGAGAACACAACAAATGCAACACACATATGCTCAAACAAATGTACACCCGCGGACTGTCACATTCAAATCCTTGGTCTGTGGTCCTTGTAAGAAAAGTGCATTGTATAGGACGGTTCTAATCTCACTGGTTTTAAGGCCCCCAAGGTGCCCCCATTATAGGGACCCAATATCTCTGTCGTTGTCACCTGGCAAACTCTAAGGTCTGTCACAGTATTTCAAGCTAAAGTAACCACTTATCACCTTGAGTGTGATTTCTGACAAGGCTCGCAGGCTCCAAGGCCAAACTTGGGCCGATCGTACGTCAACCACTCCCTATGTTTAATACCCTCATGCCCTCGGGTGTAGGAAAAACTGTTGTGTGCAAAGGTTTGTGTACAACTTGTATTCAAGCATGTGCAAAATTTAAACAAGCAAACAGATATCAAAGCCAAACAAATAAAGTAAACAAAGTAAAGGGGAAAAATAGTTAAATTATTATTTTTTTATTTTATTAACTTCATCATTTATTTGGGTCTGATCCTCTTAAAACTTCCCTAGTGGAGTCGCCATCTGTCGTAACCCAAAAATTTCCGATCTTGCGACCTATGGTTTAGACATCCTTTTAAAAGATCTCATCAATTAAGGAATGCTCGGATACCAGACTAATCCTTAATTAATGGTTTTGAAAAATGAGTTCATGGAGTCGCCACCAATGTTTTCCTCAAAACATTGGAAAAAGAAAATGTTTTTAAAAAATCCAATAATAGCCTTGATAACCAGAATTGGGTTCGGGGGTCGATTACGTATAGGGAAGGTATTAAGCACCCCTACAAGTACCCTATGATGAAGTTAACGTAATAAGAATTAATAAATTAAATATTAGATCCCCTTTATTAATATTTATTTACATGCTATAAATTTAAATTACACGGTTGATCCTAAAATGTCTACATGGTTACTTTTATTATAACAATGTTTATCAAAGATACTAAATAAAAGAGAGAGAGAAGAAGATTGACTAAAATACCTCTTGAACAAGTTCTATTGAATCTTCAAATATGGAGATTTTTAGGTACTTTGTGACAACTTTTCACACTACAATGTGCCTCACAACACTCAAGAAATACAAAAGGAGGGAGAGAGAGAGAAATTTCGAGCTCTAAGGAGTCTTGGACGAAATTTTGTGGCCGTGATAACTGTGCCCCAGCTATCTATTTATAGACGTCAAAAAGTTGCCAGAACAGCCCGTTCCAGATTCAGAACGGCCCGTTCTGGATCTGTAAGTTACGTGTTAATTTCGCCTCCTGGAACGGCCTGTTCTGAAACCAGAACGGCCCGTTCCAAAGTTGAGTTTAACACATAAATGCTTATGTTGGAATGGCCAGTTCCAAACTATGATTTTAGGCTTTTTTTTGTAACTTGGAATGGCCCGTTCCAGTTTTGGGAATGACCCATTCCAAACTTAGGTTTTAGCCTTTTTTTTGAAACTTGGAACGACCTGTTCCTGTTTTGGAACGGCCTGTTCCAGTTTTGGAATGGCCCATTCTAAACTAGGGTTTTAGGCCCTTTTTGTACCTTGGAACGACCCGTTCCAATTTTGAAATAGCCCGTTCTAGGCTACTAAAATCAGCTTATTTGGGCTTTATGCTTTCTGATGTCATGTCCTGTTATGCTTCAGGAGCTTCTTTCCTTCGATAATGGAAGTCCATTTCCTTGTTTGTATGCCCCCGGATAAAATTGGGTGTCTACACTCTCTAATTCATGAATTAATCCACATAGCATATGGGATCCACAATTTCCCACTATGATCGATAAAAAAAAATGCTTGAAATCCATCCAACCTTGGTGTTTTAAAACCACTGGTTATTTTTAAAGCATTATAAATCTCCCCATCTTCAATAGGTCTACCCAATATCTAGAGGTCACTTTCTTCTAATTGAAGAAAACAATTATTTAAAGAAAAAAAGGAAACATGTACTAAGATCATGAAATAAATCGTTATAGAAATCGTTACCAATTTTTCTAGCTCCACCCTATTGGCTACCCAAAGACTTTCATCATTCTAAAACATCTCCAATTTATTTTTCCTTATTTGAACAATAGTTATACAATGAAAATATCTTGTGTTACGATCACCAAGATACAACCACTTACATGGGAACTTTTTAGAACCAAGGTAGCTCCTCCCTTACTAGGATTTGCTTGTATTTATATTATAGCTCTTTTTACGACCATTCTAGAAACCAATTATTACTCTCAAGAAGATTTTAGGCTATACCAATCAATCTTCTTAAGATCCTTCTCTTGGCATAAAAAGATATTACCAAAAATATTCTTATTCCACTCCTTCACATAGCTTTGGAAATTGTCAACCATATGATTTCTATTAGAGCATGGCCTCCATTCCTTTCTAACTACCTTTTTAAATTTAGCATGAGTGAAACAAATCAAACTTGTTCTAAACTAATAAGTTTTTTTTTCTTGTTCTGTTCAATAAGAATTACATACAATGACAATAATAAGGTTTAAAGTTAGAACTTTGTGCATACTATCCCAATCCTCATCATTTGGTCAACAACTAAATAGAGATTGACTATTCTACTTTGGAAAAGAAAAGACAAGTTATTAAAGATATATAATAGCACAAAATGGTTGAGATTGTTATAATTAAAGGGGAACTTATCCACCCTTATATATTAAACATGATTGATTATCTTACATGATAATGTTTTTAAAGGCTTCTTTTTAATGATTGTTTTTATGCACCTTTTTTCAATGAGAGAATTTTTAAAAATTCTTTCAACTTTTTATTTTTTTTTTAGGATCAAATATGTTTTTAGTCCATGAACTTTTGTCAATTTTGTTTTTAGTTCCTGAATTATTTTTTTTTAATACTAATTTTAGTCCCTGAAATTGTCAATTTTCACTTTTAATTTTTAAATTTTTTCTCTGATTAACATTTTCGTCCTTAACATAATTTTTTTTTACATGGAGAAAAATTTCAAGGAACAAAACCAAATAAAATTTGTTCATGAACTAAAAAATAAAATTGACAAAAAATTTAAAGACTAAAAATATTTAATATTTTTATCTTATTATCAATAAATCATTAGTTCATGTGATACTATGCTCAGTCTCTTCAAGTAAGTTCTCTAGTTCAAGTGTTGTATACATAAAAAAATGTAATTAAGAAAAAAAATTCTACTAAAAGTGACCAATTAGGTTCCCTGACAAAAATTAATCATTAATAAAATTGACAGATATTTCATACAAATAATATGATTATCCAATTTTTTTATTTAATTTAATTTTTATTTATCATATTTATTTATAAAATAAAATTTAATATTTTTAAAATAAATTATCAATAATCTCATATCACAATATAAATAATTTATCATAAATCTAAATATAATTTATATATTTTAAAATATTTATGTATACAAATTTTAAAAGTAATATTTACACACATAATTTATTATAAATTTTAGTTATTATAATACTAAAGATGAAACACCCATTAAAGTATTGGAAAAAAATGTTTTAACCCATAAATTATAATTGTTAGCTCGATAATCAGTTAAAAGTCAGAAGTCAAAACTCTCTTTCTCGCACTTCCGTGACTTTATCATTTCGGAAACAAAGCTCTTTGATCTTCGAATTCCTTGGATCACTTTTCTTCGATCATCTCTCTCTTCCTTCAACGTTCACCCCTACTAACTACAATCCCTTTTCCACGGGAAAATCTCCTTCTAGGGTTCTCACGACCTATAATCCCTCAATCTTTTACTCTTATGCTTCGATCATGATTTTCTTTTCCGTAGTTATAATTACGACTTAAATTGCTCGATTTTCCTTTTTTCTTTCACTTCTCAAGAATTGTGGAGCACTCTGTGATCAATGAAAATGCATTTGGTGTCTGGTTACAAGGTAATTTTGTACCTTCTTCGCTGTCTCTGTTTTTGCGGATGCGTAACTAGATTTATTGATAAATGATTGTGGGGATTTTTTTTAATTAAATTCTTGTTCATTGTAGATTTTACAATTATTACTCGTCAATGCTTAAGTTGTAGATAAGATATATAGCCACACTAGTTTCTGAGCTGGTTCGGTGTACTGTTGAGTTTTTGGACGATTTCAGTGTTGGGTTTGTTGAGAAATAGAGAATATTTGTAACTTTTTAGTCTTTGAGATTAACTTGTAAATTTCTTGTTTAATATATTAATCTCAGTGCTTGCATTTGGTAGTGAGTAACTTGATATTATCAGCTAATTTTATTTTATCCGTGTCTCTGCTCATGTGTAAATTAATTTCTTAATTCCGGTGCAGGGCGTTTTTGGGCTTGTTTTTGGGAATGAGAATTCTTCAAGTGAAGATAGGTAAGCAGTTTTAATGTTCTTAAGATTCATTCTAATTGTATTCCACATTGTAGTTGTACACTCCTCTGTTTGATTCTTTGGTAGCATCCTATTTGACCTTGAGCTATAGTTGAAGATTGTCTAGGACTAGGATCATTATGTTTTGTTCATTCCTTGTCTCCATTTTTCTGTCCGTTTAGTTTTATCCATTTTGCAACAGCTTCTGCTATAGAATACAGGTTACTGAATTATATTCTCCTTTTCTATTAATAATTTATTTATTTGTACTGAATTTAGTCACTTAACTGAAATTGATTTGTTATGCCCCAAATAAATGAAAATTGCATTCTTCAAAATTTAAGTTGGTTGAAATCTGTAAGCTTCTGAAAAAAAAGTTACCCACAAGCACAATGCATGCTTTCATATGTATGACCCTTCTTATCATATAATATTTCTACTATCACTGCAAAGGGTATGCCTTGATTTATTACATGTTGATGTACATGTACGACTAAGAACAGCTATGTAGTGTACTTTTATCTCAGAATTACCACTTTTATTGCTACCTCTCTGCTATAATTGTTATGCTCTTAGATCATGGTTAGAGTAAATGTTCTATATTTTTTCCTTGAAAATAATTTCTAGAAAACACGTATTCTTAAAGAATGCCTTTATTGGTGTAGATTTTATTTTAGCACTTAAGAATAATACTGCTGGTCTACATTAGCTTGGCCTTGTATTTGATAGATTTGTTATTTTATTTCATGGGAATTAGGAGTGCTAATGGTCTTCTATATCTGAACTATGTATGGTTAACGATGTGTTCTTAGAAAAAGCTTCAGCCACACCTTGCTGTTGTCTGCCTATTGATCTATTTGAAATAAATTTTATTACATATTAATTTCTATCTGCTTTCATATCAAACATCCTTTAGTTTTCTACAATTTTTTAACCTTATGGTGCAGTTTATTGTTGATGACTATTTTTAATTAAAAATCAAGTCTCATTAAGTTTATTTTATGTTTTACTATCATTCCAGTGTGGGGATTTCTTTTAATTTCTTTTAATCATTTATTGTTTAATCTAACTTCTACATTTAATACATGTGTGGCATTACCCCTAATATGATGGAGTATCTTCTACGTATGCCATATTTGATATTCCTTCTATTTGGTTTTTGGCTCAATAGCTATGTTGAACGCTTACTTGACCGGATAAGCAATGGTAAACTAGCAGAGGACAGAAGAAATGCTATTACTGAGCTTCAGGCTATTGTATCGGAAAGTCAAGCTGCCCAGTTAGCATTTGGGGCAATGGGTATATAGATCTCATCTCTCAAACAAGTTATCTTACTTTTTTTCCTCATTTTTTGTAACATGTTCAATACATCTTTGCAGGCTTTCCTGTATTGCTAAGCATCTTAAGGGAAGAACATGATGATGTTGAGATGGTGACAACACCAATCTTTCCTTTCATGTAGCCTTTTGTTATTTTGTATGCATTATTAATCAAGGTTTTTGATAATCTAGTTCATTATTGAAAGTTAGTACTTAGTAATTTTAAAACTATGTACGTGAACTGAGTGGTTGATCAATGGTTCAATTATTAGGTTTATGACCCAATCCACTATGCTAAATCCCATTACCTTGCCATGTACCAAACTGATATTATGCCAAAATTTTACATTCATCTGTCGTATGTCTAGAAATTCGTGTCACACAGTTAATGTCAGAACTTCTAATGTTTAACTTTGGGGTTTTCACACTTAAAAGATAACTTGTTAAAAATTTTGAAATTTACTGTGATAGTTGTTTTGTTCTTTTTTTCCTTGTATGGATTCTAAAGATATTCGCATCCGCACAGGCATTTAGTTTACTTTCATGGAATTTGTTTTATAAGAAATGCTAAATTTCCAATGTAGTACAACAATCATTAACTTCTTATGTTGGAGTATAATGCGTTGGTTTTGTGAATCCCATTTATTTAAGGTTCTGTTAGATTGTGAGGATTTTGGTTATTGGTTATTGAATGGAAATAGTCAATTAGTGCAGCCTTGGTGCAGTTGTCTATTTTTTCCTTTTATTTACCATGCCATTTTTATATGGATTTCCCTTAAGAGGTCTCCTTTTGCTTTTAATATATCTACCAAATATGAATTATGCAACAATTATAACAATGCAGGTTCGTGGTACCCTAGAAACTCTTGTAAGTGCGTTGACTCCTATCAATCATGCAAAAGGGTCAAGCAATGAAGTTCAGCCAGCTATGATGAACACTGATTTGCTTTCCAGAGAACCAGAAAGTATCTCTCTTCTTTTAAGTTTGCTGGTAAGAAACCTTTTTATTAAAATAATGAAAGGTATTCTCAGTTATATAACTAGAGGTTTCATTAGCTTGTGGGTTTATGCATGTATCTAATAATATTTTCTTAGTAACTTCCCTTGTGTGTACTTTCCCAGACAGAGGATGATTTTTATGTACGATACTACACTCTGCAACTATTGACTGCCCTTCTCACTAATTCTCCTCAGCGGTATTAGTTTTATGGTTTCCATTTTGATTTAAATCATGAAACTATTAAATTATCTAGCTTGGAAAGCACACTTGCTAAGTTCCTCCTCAGGTTACAGGAAGCTATATTGACCATCCCTCGTGGTATAACTCGGCTGATGGATATGCTTATGGATCGTGAGGTACAAAACTTGAAACTCCATAATTTGTCTTATGGATGCACAAAATATACCTGTTTAACTTTAAACTATGGTATTTTTGTTGAATTATCAAGCTTTAAAAATTATTTGGGGACAATATATTTGTTCAGAATCTTGAATGTTTGTCTTCGAAATATTATGACATGTTTTGCTTATTGGTCCCTTTTGGGGAAAAAGCATGGAATCTACCAATTGTGTTAGAATGCTGTTTCTTTGCTATTATTGACACACAAAATGATTAAGGTTTATATTGCAGGTAATAAGGAATGAAGCATTGTTACTTCTTACTCACCTGACCCGTGAAGCTGAGGTAACCTATTTGATCTAATGGGTCAGCCCCATCAATTTATATTTTTATATTTTTTTATTGGGTGCTAAAGTTAATTGTAATCTGTTAATTCTTATGGGTACAGGAAATTCAAAAAATCGTTGTTTTTGAAGGTGCATTTGAGAAGATTTTCAGTATCATAAAAGAGGAGGGAGGTTCAGATGGCGGTGTCGTTGTACAGGTGATACATGGTTTCCTTTGACAGTAGTTTTTTTTAACATACTAAGTTTGCATATGAACTACATGATGTAAGATATTAAATCAATAATCCATTAAGCCTTTTGATCTAGCTGGACAATGCAAATTTTAAGGTACCGTGTTTATGAAGATGTGTTAATGGAATGTTATTCATGGCTTTTAGACTCTAGTTTTGATGTTGTCCATTTACTTATGTTGTAAATAATGTGCATACAAGCATGCTCATAGTCATTTTATTCTTCCATTTACCCATATTTATAATGTATTTTTTGTCATTTAACACTAGTATTGAAAATTTCCTTATTGTTATTGTTGACCAAAGCTTTCATATCTAAAATTCTAAATCATATTTTTTTATGAGCATCATAGAACTTTAAATATTTTTTTGGTCCAGATACTAACCCATGTTACTGTGCAGGACTGTCTTGAATTGTTAAACAATTTGCTTCGTCATAATGCATCCAATCAGGTTTGTTGACTCTGTTGTGTTTGCTAACTTCTAATCCTGGTATTGATTTCAACTATGCATGATTTAGGTACTGCTAAGAGAGACTTTAGGACTTGATTCGTTGATATCAATTTTGAAGCTGAGAGGAAGTGGTTATACTTTTACTCAACAAAAGGTTAGATTCTTACATTTTTATGATTTTAGATTATGCTATTGCTAAACCTATACCTAACTTTTTTTGTCACTGTTGTAAACACCATACCAGTAGACAATCAATCTACTCAGTGCTTTAGAAACCATTAAATTGTTAATAAAGGGAGGTTCTGATGCTGATCCTGGGAAAGATCTAAATAAACAGACAAATAAGAGAACTCTGATTCAGGTTTGTGAAGAGCTTTGTCTTCCATGATGGCAACAAATAAGAGAACTCTGAAATTACATACAACATCAATCTGCTGATCTTTTTCTGCGGTTTATTTGGAATTGGTTGTAGAAAAAGGTGTTGGATCATTTATTAATGTTAGGTGTTGAAAGCCAATGGGCACCTGTTGCTGTTCGCTGTGCGGTAAGATTGCTTTCCTATTTCTCCACCCACTTATTGTATGCAAACTCAACACAAGTACAATAATTTGCTCACTAACCCCTCCTTAACTTCCTCTCCCCAAAGTTGACAGAATAGCGTGCCACTTTAGCTTCACTGAAATTAATGGATCAGAAGAACAAGTTGAACTGGAACATTTAAGCTTAACTCAAATAGTGTTAATTGATTATTCTTGTTGCCATCATTCCTGATTGAAATTCTTTCCATATTGTTGATGAATCTGTTTGATGTACAATTTGATACTCCTGCACATATTATGTAAACATACACAAGCATTGATAATACTTGGCAACATAGTTATTAGTATTGTATTATAAACAGAAGTTAGACTATCTTTCTTAGCATATCATATGCTTGTGTATTACTGACACACATGAATGGTTGTCAAACTAGAGTACTAACCTATAGAATTATCCGAGTTTAGAAACTCACTTCTCCAAATTGCAATGACTTATGGCTGGAATTGTTTCTTGGTGGGTCGCTTAAACTTGGGTGGGATCAGGCGAAATTGGTCAAAATGGCAAGCTTAGGTCTGATTTCTCAAGTTCATCTCCACACCAATTTCACAGCAAAAAGACATTGACTTGTGGCCGGACTCAAACGATTAGGGCTTAGCTCTTACACTTGATTAGGGTTCAACTTAGGAAAGTACGGGAGAACGAAAGTGAGAAATTCTATATTATTCAAGAATAGGATACAAGTGTTCCCAAAGGAGCACTCTCCTTTCATTTGACACTGGAATAATCCAGTTGACAAACCAAAGTTCTGAAAATCTCCCTCACCTCTACATTTAGAGAGTTATTTATAGCCAGAAAACTGACATACAACAGCTATCCTTTCAACAACCTTTGATTTCCACTGACAAACTTATTTGCTCCTTTATTCTTCCTCCTATGATAGTCTCCTTGGGTCTGTTTGGGAGATTCTGATAGAACTGGTTCAGGAATAACCGAAGAAAAAGGAAACACTGTACTATGCACTTTATTGCTGTAAACAAAATTCAGGTATTCGAGAGACTTGACTCTCCACAAACAATGAATTGTCTAAAAAGCCCCCCTTATTGACCCCCTATCTCCTAGTTATATTTGCCCATTTACTACCAATACCCCCTCTTGCAATATCCACCTTGTCCTCAAGGTGGAATAAAGGAAACACTTTCTGAATGTCCGTAGCTAATTCCCAACTATTCTCACAATCAGGGAGTTTCTGCCATTTGATCAAGACCTCCACTTGACCTGCCTCATTCCTCCGAGTATTTAAAACAACATCCGGTTGCACAAGTAACTCCCAAGTGTCAGTCAAAACTTCCGGTAAGGGTTGAGGCTGTTGCTGATCACCAATAGCCTTCTTTAATTGTGAAACATGAAATACCGGGTGAAGTTTACTGTTGGCCGGTAAATCAAGCTTATAAGCCACAACACCAATCCTTTGCATGATTTGATATGGACCATAAAAACGTGGTCGAAGTTTCTCGTTTGGCCGTTTAGCTAAGGACTTCATCCTATAAGGTTGCAATTTGAGGTATACCCAATCACCCTCTTGATACTCCACATCCCTCCTATGCTTATTAGCATGGGCTCTCATTTGATCTTGGGCTTTCAAAAGATTACTTCGCAATTCTGCCAACAACTCATCACGTTGGCGAACTAATTTATTCACCTCTTCTATCTTTGAAGGAATGGTAGTACCTTTCAACAATATTGGAGGATCTCTCCCATACAAAGCTTTGAAAGGTGACATTTTGGCAGAGGTGTTGTAATTGGTGTTAAACCAAAATTCTGCCCAAGCTAGATGTGATGGCCATTGCTTTGGCTTTGTACCGGTAAGACAACGCAAGTAGGTTTCTAAACAACGATTTACCACTTCTGTTTGGCCATCTGTCTGCGGATGGTAAGCTGAACTTAACTTGAGGTGGGTCCCTGCTTGTCGAAATAATTCCTTCCAAAACTGACTCATGAATATTTGATCTTGGTCAGAAACTATAGAGGAGGGAAAACCGTGTAACCTGACCACCTCCTTCAAGAACAATTCAGCTACCACCTTTGCTGTAAATGGGTGACCAAGGCCTATAAAATGTGCAAATTTAGTTAATTTGTCCACAACTACCATGATGGTGTCCTTGCCCTGTGAGCGTGGAAGCCTTCCTATGAAATCCATAGAAATATCAGCCCAAACCTGTGTTGGAACTGGTAAAGGTTGAATGAGACCAGCTGGAGACAAAGCCTCATACTTATTCTTTTGACAAACTGTACAAGCAGCCACATAATTCTTAATATCTGCCTTCATACCATCCCAATAAACCACTCTTGCTAATCTTTTATATGTTCTGAAGTAACCTGAATGTCCTCCCACCGGCGAGTCATGAAATTCCTTCAAAATTAATGGAATTCTACTGGACCCCTTGGGTAAAACCAATTTTCCCTGGTAGTATAGTCGTCCCTTGTGTAATTCATTGCCACTATGATTTGAATAACCTACGAGCAAGTCTTGATAAATGTTGTGAAACTTAGCATCCCTTTGAATCTCTACCTCCCATGCCTCCATGTCTTCCAAATTCACCATTGATATAGCAGAAAATGCAGCCCTCCTGGATAACGCATCAGCAGCTGAGTCCTCCTTACCCGGTTTATATTGAATCTCAAAGTCATACCCTATTAATTTCGTGGCCCACTTAAATTGTTCTTCACTCATGAGACGTTGTTCCGTTAAGAACTTAAGACTGCGCTGATCTGTTCATATAATAAAATGATTGCCCAACAGATAGTGCCTCCATTTCTGAACCGCCAACACTACTGCCATTAATTCTCTTTCATAAATAGATTTTTGTTGTGCCCTTGATGATAAGGTTTTGCTCCAAAAGGCCAACAGTCTCCCTTCTTGAAGCAAAACAGCCCCTAAACCAACCCCTGATGCATCTGTCCCTATCATAAATGGTTTGTTAAAATCTAGTATTGCCAATATTGATAACGTAGTCAGATTATTTTTGAGTTCCTCAAAAGCCTCCTGTGCTTCCGTAGTCCAACTAAACCCATCTTTTTTTAACAGCTGAGTTAAAGGCTTAGCTATCTTACCATATCCTTGAATGAATTTGCGATAATACCCTGTAATTCCCAAAAAACACGCAACCCTTTTATATCTTTTGGCGTGGGCCACAACCACATAGCCTCAAGTTTCTTGGGATCAGTTGCCACTCCTGCTGATATGATGTGACCCAAATACTCCAAACTATGCTGCCCAAAACTGCATTTCTTTTTATTAACTCTCAATTAGTTCTTCTCTAAAGCTCCCAACACCTTCCGTAAATGATCAGCATGACTGCCTAGATCAGGGCTGTAAACTAGAATGTCATAAAAAAACTAGTGCAAACTTCCTTAGAAATGGCTTGAGTACCTCAGTCATTAAAGCTTGAAAAGTAGAAGGTGCATTGGTTAATCCAAACGGCATCACCAAAAATTCATAGTGACCCTCATGGGTTCGAAAAGATGTCTTCTCTATGTCTCCTACGCTCATTCGAATTTGGTGATACCCCGATCTTAAATCCAATTTAGAGAAAACCTTAGCTCCTCCCAACTCATCTAACAATTCATCTATAATAGGAATGGGAAATTTATTGGGGATGGTGATTTTATTTAAAGCTCTATAATCCACACAAAATCTCCAACTCCCATCTTTTTTCTTCACCAATATTACTGGGCTAGAATAGGGATTGAGACTAGGTCTGATAATTTCAGCTGATAACATTTCCCTAACCAATTTCTCAATTTCCGTTTTTTGGTAGTGAGGATACCTGTAGGGCCTGATATTCGGGGGAGCCGTTCCTGGTTTCAACGCAATGGTATGACCTTGTCTTCTATTGGGAGGTAAAGCTTACAGTTCTAGAAAAATGCCCTTAAATTCGTTCATTACAGCCTGCACCTTTTCTGGGACCATGGGACTCAGCCCTTGAACTTCTTCTATTAACTGACAGCCCACCACAAATCCTTGTCCCTCATCTCGTAGTGCCCCTTTAATGGTTTTCATTGAAGCAATAGATTTCGTTAATTCGGGTTCTCCTTTCAGTATCCGTGTCTTCCCCTCGACCTTTACTGTGAATATCAGTTTATCAAAGTTTGCTCTAAAATCTCCCAGTCCAGCCAACCATTCTAGTCCTAGAATTACATCAGCTCCTCCCAATCCAAACAAGAAAAACTCTTGTATAATTGTAAAATCTTGTACTTGCAGTTGGATTCCTTCACAAACTCTGCTACTCTTAATTTTACGTCCATCTCCCACCTCCACCATGTAAGAAGCAGTCGCCCTAACCACCAGCCCCAACCTGTCCACCAGCTCCTTGGAAATAAAGTTATGAGTAGCTCCACAATCCACCAGAACCACTACTCTGGCCCCTCCAATTTGCCCCCACACCTTGAGAGATCTCCTAGACGTTAACCCCGCTATACTATGCATAGATAGTTGGGTTTTGGGATTTACCTCCAGCTCTAATTCTTCCTCCTCTTCCTCCTCATTTTCCTCGAACTCCCCTAATACCATTACATTAAATTGTTTATTTTTGCATATGTGATTAGGCCCAAATTTCTCCTCACACCTGAAACATTCCCCTTTTTTCACTTTTTCCTTCATCTCTGCATCGGTCAATCTTTTAAATCTTGATTTCTCCCTTGTTGCCCGGTTGTCCATTTGGTTATTCGCGTTGGAGGATTCTTGTGATCCCTTATTGCCCATCTCAAATGGTTTAGTAACCTTCAAAGTCCACTCCCTACTGGCGGGTTTAGTAACAGCCGAACTCCATTTTCTACTAGGTTGACTATGAGAGAACCCCTTGTACTGCTCCATTAATTGCCCCCCTGAATAACCACCTACCCGTGTCATGGCTGCATTTTTCTCCTCAATCTTCTTGGCTTTACACATTGCGCGTCTCCCACCAATGAAACCACACAAGAGCATCTCCTTACAAGGCCACCATCACCGCTTGCATCTTCTCGGTCTCAGTCACTCCTCTTAATTGAAAATATCGTTCGACTTTGCTTATCCACCCATAGGTGTCCTCACCCTCAAAGATTGGGATTTCTAATCTCCGCCATTTGTCTCCCACTGCTGTTTCACTTGTATTTTCCCCCATTGACTCGACTTCTTCTGTTCCAGAATTTTGATTTTTCCCTTTGTCTTCCCCCATCGGATTTTCACCCAGTCTTGAAACTAACCTTTCGATCATGCCCTCCATCTTTTTCAGCCTTTCATCTCGTTGATCTTCATGCCGTTCTTGCTGTGCAAAGCGTTCTTCCATGCTTTCTTGATTCCGACTCAAACTTGCCATTGCTTTCTCCAAACTATCGATTCTGGATTCCATTCTTGTTGACGCCATCAATCCCCTAAAACGTGATACCCACTGCTCCGAGATCGGAGCTCTGATACCAGTTGATAGAACTGGTTCAGGAATAACCGATGAAAAAGGAAACACTGTACTATGCACTTTATTGCTGTAAACAAAATTCAGGTATTCGAGAGACCTGACTCCACAAACAATGAATTGTGTAAAAAGCCCCCCTTATTGACCCCCTATCTCCTATTTATATTTGCCCATTTACTACCAATACAATCTATTATTCAGTTACACTTTAATCCTCTCCTTTTTGCCTATTTCTCCTACTGTACACCTTCCGATATCTATCAGATTCATTCTCATGCCTAACATAGTTATGCTGTGTAAAAGTTGTGAAACAGAGATGTCTTCTGCTGGGTTGAAGCCGTATCACGTCTCTCCTTTGCCTCTTCTATTGCACTTTTATTCTTTTTCACATCTCACCTGCAGGGTTGAAGATGCATCTCTCCCTTGGTTGTGTAGAAGTTGCCTGTTTTCTTTCACCTTCCTTTGTCATTTGTGAAAAGAAAAAGTTCCTTCCTCTCGGTAGCAACCCATTCAGCTCATGAGCCTATTTTTTAGCCCACTGTCTTATATTTAATCTTATCAGTCCATCCAATTTACAAATCCATCTTTTGGTCATTTGTTTGCACTTTTGACTTGTTCACCTTTTGATATTATTCTGAAAATCTGTATACATTTATAAATTATAATTATATTATGTAGCTATAAATATCCATTTGTTGCAGTTAGTCTCTATGTGAGTCGCATTATATTTGATATTGGTGAGTCGTGAGTGTGGGTCTGTATGATTTGCTATTTTTCCTTTTTATGGAGGTGTTTATATTGAATTATTGTTATATTAAAAATATTATGTTAATGTATATATGTCTTGTATATGTTTTTTAATATTATTTTTTATATGGACATAAGTTTATTTAAACTCTCAAGTCTGACAACCTTGGGCACATGCTTGTTATCATTGTTTTTATTAGCATAGACATTATATAGATTAAGCGGTACAAGGGGTACCAAACTCGTAGAATAAATATGATAAGTTCATCTTTAGTTCACTACCCGCTGAAGGTTATGACACATTGATGTGTGTTGCGATAAATATTTAATAATCATTCATTACAAAATGAAACCCTGTGACAGTATACTTTATAAAAATCCCAGCTGTATAGATAATAACCAGAGTATACTATCCACACCTCCCTGTTTTCTTCAGCTTCTGACCCACTTTCTCCAACATTAAAGCTACCCATGCCTATAACACATACCATACATCTGTTATTCCTCTTCACTCTTGAAGTTGCAAGTTAGAGAGGCATGCACCTGGATTAATATACCACTGTGTAGCTGAATATAAGACCCCCTCTCATATTCCTTTAAGCCATCGCCAAGATGTATTTATGAATTTTCTCCACAGATACTCTTTGTCAAAACCAGCATTGTTGAGAAGGCAATTATTTCTAGTGTTCCATACAGACCATATTAAAGCACACCAAATAATTTTCCATCTAGAAATAGCATCTTTGTTTATGAAGCATGATGGATATTGCAAAAAGAAGTCCCTTACAGAGTTAGGGAAAACATTGCAGTAGTTCTACCACTTGAAGCAGGCTAACCACATAAGACGCACCACTTTGCATGAAATGAATAAATGATAAGTTGTTTCATATGACAGAGTATAGCTATTTACATTGTGATCTAATTGTATGTTCATCTTGACAAGGTTATCCCTCGTGGGAAGCCTGTCTAAGAAAACCCTCCGAAAAAAAAAAAGATCACTTCTTGTGGTACCTTGATATCATATATTAAAAGTTAGTTAAAACTTAAGACAACAATGTAATGATCAAATGCCATCATTTTTACCTGTTTTGGCTAAAGCAAACACACCTTTGTATTTATTTCATCTTTTCATTTTGCGAACAATAACAACAACAAAGCCTTATCTCACTAGGTGAGGTCGACTACATGGATCACATGACACCATTTGGCCAGGTCAAAAACAAAATCTATTTTGCAGACAGATCATGAAAAATAAAAGGGAACCAGTAACCACACAGCACAACACGAGTCAAAGATACACTACACCATGGATATGGGGAGACAACAAATTTTACAAATTGTACAGCGCAACACTGCTATAATACAACTTAAAAAAAAAATCCGACAATAGTAACAACAATAGCCTTACCCACTAATGAATAAAATAAATCTAAATTTAAAGTAAAAACTCTTGCATCACCAGACAAAATTCACATTAGTCATATAATAAATGCTAAGATTTATATTGTTATTGTTATTTTGGCATTTCAGTTTGTGTTGGTATAAAAGTTAAAAAAAGGTACAATTATAAAAATGACATATTCAATAGGGATACAACACAACATGTCTAACATGAATGCATATTCAATATGGCTACAACATGACACGGCTAATATTTAGAAGCGTCCATGATTCCTCGGGACAAACAATCAAAGGCCTCTCTATTTTTTTTATTTTTTTTTTTTGTGATAGAATGAGAGAAAATGAACATTGAACATAGTCTTTGAATTTCTGAAAATGAAAACCCCAATTACAAAAGTAGATGGACTTTGTGTATCATGTTGTCCCAATTTCTTTTTTCTTCCTGTCCATACTTCATAAATTAGTTAAACTTGGGAGTGTAATTGATTTGTGAAATTATCAACTATTCAATACTATCTCTTTGCTTTGATATTTATACGTTTCAAAAGAGTGCCTTCATCATTTATATAGCATCACTGCTACTTTGGTTTTGTTCTATGGTATTTTTTTTTTTTTTTGTGGTTGGTTCTAATATGCTTAGTACATAGCCTACAAGATCCTTTTCTATTCATCAAGTATGAAGATGCACTTTATTTATGCTGCTAAACTTAATCCTTTTTTAGGCATTGAGGGTTATTGGCGATCTGATTGCTGGAGATTTAAAGAATTGTGATGTTCTTTCTAGCAAATTTCTTGGAGAGGAGCCACAAGTTGAACCTGCTCTGAACTCTATACTCAGAATCATTTTGAGGACTTCTAGCATGCAAGAGTTCATTGCAGCTGATTATGTTTTTAAAAGCTTTTGCGAGGTTGGTAAATGCGTTTTTTTTGGATTTATATAAACATTCTTGCACCGTATTTATAATGTAATTTAATTCAGAAAAATACTGATGGACAATCAATGCTGGCATCTACACTAATCCCACAGCCGTATTCCATGAATCATGCACCTCTTGAGGAGGATGTCAATATGTCTTTTGGAAGGTTTGTTTTGTTGTTGATGCTTTAATGACTGCACATATTTCTAATTTGTTGCAAATGTTAGATTTTGTATAACAAATCTTTGTCCATGCACATTCCCTATTCCGTAAATCATCACAGCCTTTTAAAGATGCTATGTTGAATCAATTTTAAGATTGTAAATTTTTTTTCTTTCAGCATGCTATTACATGGTCTTACATTGGGTGAAAATGAAGGTGATCTTGAGGTTTGTAATGCTTGTTTTATATTCTTCTTTTTTTATTTTTATCTTTTACATGCTAATGCAACTAAATGTTGGCAGCATGACTAGCATTTTGTTGAAAATGTAGGTTTGTGGCAGGGCTGCTAGTGTCCTATCTCACGTATTGAAAGACAATCTTCACTGCAAGGACAGGGTATGCAGATAATTTTCACCTCATCATATTCTTAGTTTTAATCTACTACAAGTTTTTTCACTGAGGAGGCTTAAGTCATTTAGTTTAATGACCAAGACTTCTATTATAAAAGAATCACAATTATGGCATTTTATGTTATAAGCTATGAAGCACCACAGTCACTAGGACATGACTAATGTCTAAAATATAGGACATTGGGACACGACAAACACACACACACATATATATATATATATAAGTTTTACAATTTTTATATGATAATAATCTTTAGAAGATGAACCATATCTCTTAAAAGTTAAAATGAGTATTTTTTATGAAAATGAGCCTCACAACAAATAAAAAAGTGTTGGAGTCTTGCAATATTTATAAATAAGTTGACTTTTAATTTTATTTTATTTTTATAATAGGAGTGTTTAGTTAAGAGCAGATGTTGACTCGCTCTCTTAACTCGTGTTCAAGTTGTGTTAGAGAGGTGTTTGGACCAATAAAATAGTAATTTTTAATTATAACACAGTGGAGAGGTGTCGAACGCGTGTCCAAGGCATGTTTGTAGATGTGTTGGTGCTTCATAGGTTATAACATGAAAAAAATTCTAGTTTGTAGTACTAGAAATGATATTGTTTTGCTTGGAGATCTCCTATCAATTTATTTTTCCCCATAAATCCAAATGTTGTTTCTAGCATAGCCGAACTGAGAGGGGAAATTTATCCCTTTGGGTCAACCTCACGCCCACAGCTTTCTAAAAGTTTGGGCTTTTAAAGAACTTTTATTTTTTAAGCTTCTTTCAATTTACTTTTTCCTATAAATCCAAATGTTGTTTCCATAGGAGGAGCTATGGGGTGACTTGGGGATGCCATGGTCACCCCCAAATTTTTTTAACTTATTTTAAATTTTTAATATAAAAATATTTTTAACACACCTAAAAGAAAGAAAAGGTGAGAAATTTGTCTTGGCCCCCCTCTAAATACATCCTGTCCCCGCCGCTATTTTCTATCTCAACCTCAGTCCCAATATATATATATATATATAACATTGTCTCACTGGTTAAAAAATAAGAGTGAATGGATGTAATTATATTCAATAATGATATGGTTAATATTCACGATTTGTTAGGTAAAGTTAATCATCATTAGACATTCAATAATCTCACACTGCTAACCATGTTTTGAAAATTGTATACATCCACGTTCATTTACTGTTAACCACTTGTGAGGCAAAGTTAATCACCATAAAGTATTTCAATAACCTCATGAAACTATTAACCCACATCGATAATTATATATGTTTACATTAATTTATTTTTAACCATTTGTGAAACAAAATTAACTATATTTGTACATATAATTAACCTTGTTTGTTGGGTCGAGTCCAGGTGTAAAATGCCAGCGGTATGATTATCAGCACTCTAAAAATAAATATATTAATTTGAAAGATAGTGTTGTGTTACTAAAGGCAAGGAAGTTGTATTTATACTAGTAGATGATTTCCAATCCTAGTTAAAAATCAAAACAAATCATGAAATATATGGAGTTATAGAAACCAATGGTAAGAGATAATCTAAGATACTCTTAATTACTCTGATTTTTATCATTATATTCTTAAATTTCCACTGCTCACCTAGTGGGAAATGGACTTTGCTGTTTATTATTTTAAAATTTCTACCCTACCTACTTGTAATTATTGTGGTAAGAAAGAGTAACGTAGTTCAAGTGAATCAGTTAACAATATTTTACATTTTTTTTCTTTAAATATATATTCTAATAAACCAAAATAATAATAATAAAACTTGATATTTTTGGAAAGTAGTTGGATTTTCCCTTTGTTTTGTTCCTTTTATTTTTTTCAATGCCTTTAGCATTTTTTTTTTTTTTTTTTGTGAAATAGGGAGCCCAGGGTCCTTTTTTTCTTGCATGGGTAGTCAGAATTTGCCTCCTTTATTTATCATATATTTTTTTGGGTAGAAAAAAGTTTAGGTGAGTTGGGTTCTGGTCTCTCCAGGGCCAGGATAGACCTCAAGGCTCTAAGTGCTTATATAGGTACTTACAAATTACTTACCAACAAAGTCTCCACATTGGTAGAAATCGAGCCCTCGTCTTTTATAGGTTTTGCTTTTACTGCTAATTACAGTCCCCTGTGGGAATACTATAACTATTCTCATTATACACCTTTCAAGTTTCAACAAATGCAACTCTAAAGCTTCCTGTGTATATAGTATGGATGTTAAATAATAGAGTGAATTACACTGACAATCCTTGAAGTTTGGTGAGATTTTAGATAAATCCCCTTCTTTTTCTACTCTAACACTATCTCCCCTCAATTGTTTGGGAAACATGTTCCTAACCCGCCTTTAAACATTACATTAACCTTCTTTAATTGTTTGAAAAACATTGCACCATGTTCTCCTATAAGAGATGTTGTAAACCTTAAAAAAGCAAGGGGGATTATATGCAATCTAACGTAACCTTAGGGAGTGCTAGTATAGTTTACACTAAATTACATAGGTCCTGATTAAAAAGGTTTAATGAATGTGATAATGATATAAAAAATAAGTTGGGACGTGCAAGATCTGTAAGTTTTTGGAAATTTCCCAAAGTGGAGCATGTGAGTGCCATTAGGTACTGGTGTTACCTGACAACTATGTATTGATTTGCTTGATATGTATGAATGTTTCATGAGGCATACTTTATGCCTGCATGTTATCCATCATATATTTATATTATATTATATAAAATTTTATGTACTCCTTTTCATTTGTTAGGAGTTTTCCCAAACATAGCAGGTGATATTTTTGCATGATTTGTTACATAAATATTCACACAATTAGTCCTTGTAAATATGATGGATAAATTTGGTTTAAGTTCTATTTTATTTTTGACTTTTTTTTGGTTTTCATCCTCAGAAATTTTAAATATTTTGAAATGATCTCTATCATCACTCACTAATGACATAACATACATCTAAATATGTCATGTCACATACCACTTCAAAATAGTCACAGTTGCTTATGGTGCCATAGATAATTGCATGTCACATAATTATTAAATGGTGATAGGGATGATTTTCACAAGTTTTAAAATGTACGAGGACCAAAATTAAAAATAAAAAGTTGGAGGACTAAAATCAATTTTAACCATATTTACAAAGACAAAGAACACGTTTAAGTGTAATTATTCCTAGGTTTTCTTTTGTAAGTGAACTTTATGTATTTAATGCAGTACATTTTGTTGATATAAACTGCTTGCAAATTTTATTGTGCTCTTATTCTTACCACAAACTACTCTACTCTGATCATTTTATTATTCATCTGTACACATTGTATACAGTCCTTCAACATTGATAAGTAATGGTTTTATGGTAGTATTGTCAGTGATATTAAAGAAAGGATAAACAATAAATTTGGTTGTGTATAGAGAAATCTTATGAGAAAAGTTGCAGGTTTTACAAATCGAAATTGAGGCCCCCATCTCATCCTTAGGAGCTCCAGAGCCACTAATGCATCGAATGGTGAAATATATGGCCCTTGTCTCTTCCATGAAAAGCAAAGACGGAAAGTCTAGATCATCAGAAAATTCATATATTCAAGAAATTATCTTAAAATTACTAGTTACCTGGCTAGCTGATTGCCCAGGTGCTGTTCACTGTTTCCTAGATGCTCGCCCCCACCTTACTTATCTTCTTGAGCTGGTGTCAAATTTGTCAGAAACAGTGTGCATAAGGGGTTTGGCAGCAGTCGTCTTGGGTGAATGTGTTATCTATAATAATTCCACTGATAGTGCAAAGGATGCATTTGCCATTGTTGATATGATGAGTCAGAAAATCGGGCTTAGTTCTTACTTTTTGATGTTTGATGAGATGCAGAAAAGTTTTGTTTTTGCTAATGTGGAATCATCTCTGAACCGTAAATCATTCACTAGATGTTCAACAGCTAGCATGGAAGATATTACAGATTCAGACAACAATGACCTATCTGAACAGAAAAATATGGATCATCCTGTTCTGTCTTTAATATTGGATTCTTATTTTGTGAATCTTGTCAAAGGACTGGAAGCAGATATTAGGGAACAAATTGTGGTGGTCTATAGTCATCCAAAAACTAAGGTAGCCGTGGTGCCAGCAGAATTAGAGCAGAAGATTGGTGAAAGTGATGTAGAGTACATAAAGCGGCTGAAAGCTTTTCTTGAGAAGCAATGCTCTGAAATAAAGGTACTATGTTTACTTATTTGTTCATTATGAAATTTCTCTACGAGGATAAGTCTTGAATATGATTCTTTTAGGAAACCCTGCCTTACTGTAATTAGGAAGTTGCATGTTGAAGGTACTAAAGTCTATCTCCAAAGTTAATACGATAATTTGATGGTATTTCTTTATCATTTGCTTGAAGTTATATTTTAGAGTTGGGTTTTAAATGGTATATGCATGATAAAGATAAAAAGAGCAATCTTGTTAAGTGTTTGCTATGATATGTCATCCCTGTCAATATCTTTGTCATTTATCAGGTTGTTGCTCCAAGACAAGCTTGTTTCTTATGGATCCTTAATCCATTATTGACTAATAGTACGATATGTCACAAGAGTATTTTAATATGTTTGGAAAGTCTGTTTAAATATTGAAAAGATAAACCTCATCAGACCAGTGCAAAATTCATCTTTCTTAGCTGATCTGCGTCTCCTGTCTTTCTTGTATCTCTTTCTCTGGCTTTATTGTTCCTCATAGGTAGCCCACTGACTCACGTGTTTGTAAATCACAGCTGTTTTGTGTACATTTCCCTTCCGAAATTCTGATATTACCTTCTTTCGCCTACTGTCTTTTTATTCAAGTTTGATATTCTTTTGGTGAGTTTTATTTTCTTAAATGCTCTTATGTTTATTTCTCTTGATACATTGTTAGGTTTTTATTTATATTCTAGAGGTCATTTTAGTATACATCTGTAAAAAATAAAATTGGTCACTATTCTTCATTATATAAATTCATGGTGGATTTTCGGCTTGCCTCCTTGGGCTTTTGCCAATTCCATGAACCTGAAACAAGAATAGTAATTTGTTTAGGAGTCTGAACTGTAAACATCAGTGGACAAGTGTTGGGCATGCATTTTATTCTTCTTTCCTTTCATCATTTCAGGACCTCCTTTCACGGAATGCTACTTTGGCTGAAGACCTGGCCAGGACAGGTGGGGGTAGTAATATACAATCTGAGCAAAGAGTAAGTGGGAGCTCAGATAAAGTCCAAATAAATGCACTCAGTAGAGATCTCCAAGAAGCATCTAAAAGGTTGGAGATGCTGAAGTCAGAAAAAGCAGAAGTTGAATCTGACACAAGGAAGTACCGGAATTTAGCTGAAAAGATGGAAGCTGATCTAAGGAGTCTTTCTGATGCCTACAACAGTCTTGAGCAATCCAACATACAACTGGAGAAGCAGGTGAAAGCACTGAAGAGTGGAGTATCCTCAACATTCCTAGATGTGGAGGCAATTAAAGCTGAAGCAAGGGAAGAAGCTCAAAAGGAGAGTGAAGGTGAACTGAATGATCTGCTTGTATGCCTAGGGCAAGAACAGAGCAAGGTGGATAGACTTGGTGCTAGATTGCTTGAGTTGGGGGAAGATGTTGACAAATTGCTTGAAGGCATTGGAGATGATGTTGGGAATGTTGAAGATGGTGAGGATGAGGAAGACACTGAATAATAATAATGTACTATCATCTAGCCTTTGCAGGGCTCACTTTGTACATTTCTTGGTTGAATTGTACAGTCTTACCAGGGTTGGATTTTAAGTTATAACGTCCATCTGGACCTCTTCCGGGCTGGCTTTTGTTATGCATTACTTGATGATTTACGTTGTATCCGATGGTTTTTTTCTCATATCACTTTTGCATTTTTTTTTTTTTTGTTAAAATCTTAATATCAACTAGTCAAATGAGTAGAAAAGTATATTGGGTACAACATGGATATCTAATCAGTGATTAAAATGACTTAAGAAAGATCAAGAAATATCTACCAATCTAGAAGATTTGAGAATGGAGGTGGAGTAGTTTAACCATTAAGATACTTAAATAATTTAATAAAATTTTGGAAAGTCCTATAAATATATACAATATGGACACTTAATCAACATGTAATTAAAATGACTTGAGAAATATCTATCAATCTAGAAGATTTGATAATGGATGTGGTTACTAGTATAAAAAGGGGAAACCATACCAAAAAGTTTACCAATAACCATTAACAACAAGACATAAATCAAGTCAAAGAAATAAAATAAAATAAAAAGTAGATACTCTATCTTTACCACAACTGAGGGAGAAACAACTAAAATTTCAAGAACAAGGGAAGAAAGGAAGAAGATAAGAGGAAGAAAAAGTAAGAAAAAAAATTAAGGAAATTAGGAGAAAACTAGCATGTATGGAGAAATAGGTATGAGTTAGATGTTTAATTTTTTTCATGCCTTTGTGTTTAGGATAGATGCATGATTTATGTTAGATGATATGAGTTTTGATTGTACTTATTGGTAAACTTGATGTTTTAAGGTTGAATCTTGAAGTAGTTGATTATTTATAATTGCATGCTGCTATGAAAATTGTTTGAATATATTTGAAAAGTTTGATTAAGAATGATTTTTGAAGTGATAGATTAATAGTAATGTATATTGCATATTATATAATGTGGTTTTTTTAAGTTAAAAGATGATCTAAATTCCTTGAACTCAGAGTTTTAATACTAATAAACAAAGTGTTTTTATAATGAAGAAATGTCTACAAAAACATCATTGAAAATATCCTTGAAAAACTAATCAGATGAAGTGTAAGATATAGATAATCTATAAGACGTAAATTAGATGAAACATACCGTTTGTCTCATATATATTAGGCGTTTATTATATATTGAGACTAACGACAAAGTTTGTTTTGAATGTTTCATTTCTTAATAGATTGAACTAGAAAGCCATTTTAGAACTCACAAATTTGTTAAAGAAAAGAATCATGTTTTCCATTAGAACCAAAACCCCTGAAATCATGGAGAAAAGCATATAAAGTCATTGCTATAGTTCCTATACGCTGACATTGCTTCTGCAATCTTCGTTTAGCATGAAAAGTTGATAAGTAGTCTCTTTGAACAAATAAGAGGTACCATTTGATGAAATACATTTAATGCTTGCATCAAATGAGTCGAACAATCATCTACCATCACAAGGAAAGACGATGAAGACAAATAAAACCAACTTGTGAGTTAGACTCAAAGTGTTGCAATAGTTATCTTCTCTAAACTACTATATAAGAAGAATCAAAGTACATACAATAAAGACAGTGACAACAATTTTAAGTGATACATATACTTTTTACATAAAATTATACTTTGTGTAAATCTATTCTTTCTTGTAAAAACTCAGTGATTTGTATTGGTTATATAATGTATTAGTGAAATGAATACAACATTTGTGTAACCTTCCTAACCATTGTTATAAGGTTGAGTCCAGAGAAGCTTGTATGTAAAAGAATACTTATTTTGAGCCTAGAGAGACTTGTTTATAAAAGAATACTTGTTTTGAACTTGAAGAGATTTGACTGTAAAAGAATACTTGGTTGTTAAACCTAAAAAGGCTTGTTAAAAAAGAATACTTAAGTAGTTTCTTGAATATGCAAGTAAAAGAATACTTAGGATTGAGTTAGAAGTCGCTTGTTGAAAAAATACTTATATCTTTGTTCAAAGATAATAGAACTCAATCTAGTTAGATTTGAGAATTGGACATAGTCTCGATTGTTGAGACAAACCAATATAAAAATATATGGTGTTCCATCTTACTGCTCTTCATGCTTTATCTGACTAGCGTTACTATTTCACTACGAAAATAATGAGTTTTTGATACACATTATTCAACCCCTTGAAGTTAGACGGAAAACACATAGAAGAGGGGCTTGAATATGTGTGTGTGTGTGAACAAGGGCATTTCAAAAAATTTTCGCAAGAAGACTTTCTTTCGTCCTATAAAATGATGTTGGTGAATATTAGATATGAACTACCTAGGATAGGTTTAACACGTTTGGGAATTTTATCGTCTACTTAGAGAAAACATTTTTGAAGAGAAAAACCGTTCTATTGAATGATCAGTTAAACACATGTGGTTTTCGTCTAAATATAGTTTTAATGGACGATAGGCATTGGACAAAGTTTTCAATATTTAAAACCAACCGAATAAAGTGCATCTAAATCATTTAAAATTTTAGAGCACGTTTGTATACTGGTTCACTCAAATTGAGCTACATCCAGTCTCCTTTAATTGAAGGGTTCCACTAGATATATTCAATAAAGTACAAAAGTATTGTCGACCACTTCTGACTCGTTGACTTCACTCATCAACGCTAGTATCTTCTTATCAGCCTCTTTAGGCTAGCATTGAGTATTATGGACCACCTAGGTCAGAACCACTCCTGTTCCAAGTATTCTTGACCTCTCCAGACCCTAAGTATTCTAGACCTTCCCGGTCACGACCACTCTTGGTCACGAGTATTCTCAACCACTCCTGGTTGGCTAGCTTCACTCACCAGCTCTAGTATTCTTAAACCACTTCTAGTTCCCCAAGTATTCTCAACCACTCCTAGTCTGCCATCTTCACTCACCAGCGCTAATATATTCTTATTAGCCAGTTCTAACTAGCAGTGAGTATTATGGACCACCCAGGTCAGAACCACTCTTGGTCCAAGTATTCTCGACCACTCCTGGCCCGCCAGCTTCACTCACCAGCGCTAGTATTCTTTAATCAGCCTCTTCAGGCTCGTAGTGAGTATTCTTTGACTAGCCTCTCCAGGCTTTACAAGTATTCTTTTCCCAGCCTCTTCAGGCTTTACAAGTGATAGACGTATAATCAGTTTTGAGTGTTTGGGTTACTCTCACAGAGAAGATACATAAGATTACAACACTCACTAAGGTCTCACTAGCTACCTTAGTCCTACAAAGATTCTGAGTGTGTGGGTTACTCTTTACAAAGAGGATACATAAGATGACACTCACTAAGGTTTTTTTCCTAAGATACACATGTTTGTAACTCCTTAGTTTATAGAGATGAATACACTATGGGATATTTGACTCTATATGCTTTATCTCTGGTTTCGTTGTTTCATGGGCTTGGTATCACTTGGTTAAGCATGTAAACATGGAAGCCAACCTTCCAAGGTTTGAGATAGTGATATATATTGTCTTGTAGGATCTGCCCGTTGCAAGTATCCGTTGAAGCAGTTATAGTTGGTTTTGTTAGGTCAAACGAAGACGAAGCAATTCCCAGCAAGGTTTTGAATGAGACAAATATAATACATGTTGTTATCTCTAACAAGTGTGTTAGTGTTTCAGAAGAACATAAGTACAGGAAAAGTGAAGAACAAGCGTAATGACCAGACGATACAAGATGATAGACGAAAGGCTAACACAAGCATCCAACAAGCCAAATCAAGAACAAGACAAAAGCGCATCAAGCACAACCTAAAGTGAAACATAAAGACGCAGACGAAGGTTGGTCAAAGATAATTTGAAATTCTAACCATATACAAGTTGACCAGACAAAAGGAAAAGTCAATGCGTTAATAAAAAATGCTCAAACAAAGGTCTGTTGAGATTCATGGAGTAGTGAATCAACTAAACTCTGAAGTATGAGAGAGCATGAGAGTTTTGATGATAACAAAAGGTGGATTCTAAAAGTTGAAGCTGACCAAGGACACAAACTAGTCAAAAACAAGATATGACTATCATGATGTGTATTATGTGTATTAAAAGTTCTTATGAGTTGTATTGTTTTGATTAGCTTATTTTGCATGCGTGTGCTTTGTGCATGAGTTAATTTTAATCTAAATTGATTGAGAGTGAGTATGATGATGATTTAAAATACTTGGAAATATTTTTGAAGTATAAAATTGATTTTTTGAGAGCTAACTCAAAATAATCAATTATCATTAAGTGTAATCGATTATTCCAGCAACAGGTGAAAAGAGTCAAGCTGTAATAATCGATTATCTGTGAAATAATCGATTATTCCAGGAAGCACTCTCTGGAATAATCGATTATCCTGCAAAATAATCGATTATTCTGTTCTTGAGTGATTTCCAGAAATCATGAATAGCAAAATAATCGATTATATCCCTTAAAATAATCGATTATTTGGTTCTGAAATTTTTTATAAATAGCTTTCACACTTTGAAACTTCAGAACAGAGAATGAATTGAGAATCAACGAGAGAAAAACTATATTGTGAAGTCTTTGTGACCTTCTTGGAGTGTTTTCTTTGTGAAACCAAGAAGAAAACATTCTGTGAAATGCTTTGAAAAAGATCATCATCATCACTACATTCTTGGGAGAGGAAGATTAAGATTTGTTTTTGGAATTCACAATCTGATTTATTCAGCTTCCAAGTGAATTCGTTCCTTTAATTCTTTGTGTAAAGTGTAAGGGAAATCTTGAGTAGGTGTCTCAATTGGTAAGAAATTCTTGTAGTGGATTTCTACAAGAAGTGCTTTCTTGGGGGCAAGAAAGTGGTTATCTTGAATGTAGGAGTATATGCATGTGTGGTATGCTTGTAAAACTTCTTCATTAAGATAGTGGAACAAATTTTGATCAGGTTATGATTGAGGACTGGATGTAGGTCACATGTGGAGTGGCTGAACCAAGATAAAATACTTGTACATTCTTCTCTCTCACTCTTATCTTTTACATTGAGCAAAATCTTGGTTGAGTGTTAAAGTGGATGATCTTGATTAATATGTTTGTATGCATAACATTGCTTTAAATTGAACCAAAGTGTTGCATATTAAGTGTTCTTAACATTGAAATTGATCAAGATTAATCAAGAAAGCATATAGGACTCATTCCCATTAGCAAGT